TAAAAAAAAAAAAAAAAAAAAAGCATACCAAATCTCAACAAAATCCTTAATAAAACTGGCATAAAATTATAGGGGAGGTAAGTTGTTCTGTTCAGGATTGTAAGGTCATTACTGGGATTTTCTTTGTCCATTGTGTCCCTCAAACAGGTGACAATCTCTGTGGATGGCATCCTTACCACCACGGGCTACACACAGGAGGACTACACCATGCTGGGCTCAGATGACTTCTTTTACGTGGGAGGGAGCCCCAGTACTGCCGATTTACCTGGGTCTCCAGTAAGCAATAACTTCATGGGCTGCCTCAAAGAGGTAACTATTTGAAATTAATTCTTGTCTGTGTGCTTTAATTTGCTAAAGTCATCACTCTTTCCTGCCTTACACAATTAATTCCTTTCCTGGTGCCTAATTTTATACTGATAACTGCGGCATCTCTGTAAAGATAAACTCATCATCATTTAGCTGGTCAGAAGGCTGGAAAACTTATGAACTTAAGGCAGAATCGTACTTTTAGTGCTTGGATTACCAAAAAAAATGCTCATGGTAGTAGGAGAGGTGTCTTCTCTAAGCTGTTAGCCCTTCAGAAGAAAGCATTACTATATTCTAGGCACTTAGGCAATAGCCATTATAAAAAGAACAGTAGCCTTTGATTACTAAGTAGCATTTTGAGATTAAAAAATCACAATCAGAAGCTTATTTAGAATACTTTTTAAGGTCCTGGATTTCAACTGGGAGTATAGTTAGATCTGAATTTTCCAGGAAGATACAGAAATAGAATAAAACAGAAAAGTGAAAGTTTAAGGTAGCATAAAAAGTGTTAATTTTGCAAGGAAAATGCAGCATGAAAGTGTGTCAGGGAGGTGTGCCAATCACATGGCATGTGGACATGAAGTGTACTCTGTGTTATGGTATCATTATTGAGAGATGCCTCTCCCTGAATTAAAGTGCAAACAATACCATATGCTGAAGTCAATAGTATAGATTTTATTGAACAATAAAATGTTAGGTAGAGAGGTAGAAAGAAGTAGAAAAGAGAGAAAAAGAGAGAGAGATTAAACAGAAGATAGTCACCACCCATGAAGTTGGTGGTGTCCTGTTGGTCCTTCACCCTAGGCTTCTCAGTGGTGGGAGGCCTGGGGTCACTCAAAACTGCTGACATATCTTTTCAAACAAAGGAATTAATGTTCATTGGTTACTCACATTTTTTATTCTATTGGTTTAATCATTCACTTGATTCTAATGTTAATTAGTCCCATGCTCAGTCTTTCTGGTTTTTTTAGTTGGTGGGTTTCTTGAGTTGGTGGGTTGTGAATCAGTGGTCACAATCTCCCTCTGATGGAATTACCTTTTACCCAGTCCAAGCTGATTCAGCATAGTCGCTTTCCTTGTGGCCCATAACTTCTGCATTCTTTATGTCCATTATGAGTTATACATTCTGCTCTCACAGCTTTTTTTACCTCCCCCTAGGCTTGAGATAGCACTTGGACAATAGAATCACCTCTGTTATCTCAAGTTCCTGGTCATGGTTGCTTAATTTACAGTCCAAGTTCCTGGTATCCATGGAGGCATATTTGGGGAAGGGATTGGGAGGTGGTGGGGTCCCTCAGTGGTCACAGATGCCATTTGTCCCCTAACTTGGGGTGATCTTTGTTTGACCAGTGATATGCGTAGAAGTTGTTTCTTTACAAAGTTCACCACAGTGGGAAGTTTTGTCTGGATGCATTACCCAGGATGTGCTGACCAGATCTCCCCTCTGCTTGGAGTTAGCACTGTCCCATCCCTCCATTCTGTGCCCATCTCATGGCAAAGTCGTTCTGTGGCCTTAACAGTATTTGAGACAGACAGCTATGATCTTTAAGTCCTTACACTGGGTTGCTAAGTCTGTGCACTTGAGTGGCTGCATTGGTCAGGAAGAGCTAGCTGGTTCTGAAAACTGTTTTGTCCTACTCTGCCTGGCTGCACTTGCCACATAGTTATTCCAGAGCATTGAGAAAATTCACACATATGTAATAGAGATTGGACTGCCGGGCTAGCCGCAGGAACCAAAAAAGTGATCCTTGGAAAAAGAATCCCAAAACAAAACAGTTAAAAGATGAGTTCTGTCCAAATCCCAAACTTGGAACAGTTTAGTTTTGATGCTAGCTTGCAGTCATCTTTTTTCTTCTTTCTTCTCTTTTCTAATGCAATTTGTGATTATCACTGTGATTTATAGGGATACAGATATTGAGGTCTCCGCAAAGTGTTATAAAGACATAGGGGTCATGGAAGCAGCAATGCTGAGCTAGATGTTGTTCTGTGGCTGTAATTGCCTTGACAAGTCATCAACCTACTGATGCTCAACTCGTGGTATCAGGGTTTGTGTGTTATGTGCCAGGCCTCTGACGTGAGGGAGAGTTGTTAGGGTCTGCAGCTGCTCTCCTGCCTGACCTCTGGATGAAAGGGATGTACATATGGTAGAGGAGAGTTCGTGAGCATGTTATATAGGAAATGAAACTTTGTTGCTTGAATACAAACTGCCATACAGAGATCAAATCCTTCTCGTTACATTTATAGAGCCTTGGGCCTGATTTTCCTAGGCACTGAGCATCCCCAGTTTGATTGAAATCAGGAGGAGATACAGCCTCTTAGTGTCTCTTTAAATCAGGATCTTAATTTTATTTATGGATGCTATGAACATAACACTTAGCAGAGGCCATTTTTATGTATGCTTTAAGTCAAGCCAATGGAGCAAAGAAAGCAGTGACAAGAAAATCTTCAGCAGCTTTATTATTTATATAATCATTTGTATTCTGTTAGCTTGCACAATGTGCTAAGAGCCGCCAACATAGTCATCCCAGGCTCATAATGTTCTGTGAGAAGGAAAACCCAAGCAACCGCTTAAGAATGAGAGGAAGAAAACAGATAATCAAAAGTGCTTTGTAATCTTCACTTGACTAGGCAATGACAGGAGATGTGTATGAGCAGATGTCTTTACTTGATGGCTGCTTTAGAGTTATAGTTTGCTTAAAAGCACCCCACTTACAGTGGTGTTCCAGTAATACTTTCAATGAGCTTTGGTCCTGGAGGAGGCAGAACTGGGTTAGTGCAGTGCTTGTGTGCTTATGATGTGTCTGGTTCCAAAACTGGCTACGGGGAACTTTACTTGGCTTTCTGTGTAGCTTGTCAGCATATTTCATAAATCAGTCTCCATAGTTAATGTTTTAAACTTACTTTTTTTTTTTTTTCCATGGCCAAAATGGATGCTCAGTCTCTAATTAGCCAGTACTGGAGGAGCTTGGATTTTTAACAAAAATATTCTGAGCTAAGTAAGTTAGATGAAGTGGTAGGGTAGACTATTAGCAAATTTTGTTCCTTTCAGTTTATCCTTTCTAGTAGAGCGAAGCTCTTCTTTCATAGTTAAGTCCTAGCTATGTAATTGCTGGTACCAGAGACACAGCACACCCCAAATAGATTGCACTATTTGTAATGGTGAAGAGCATCCTGCCAAGCCCTGTACTGATCTCTTGAAGGCGTTAAAGCAGAATGGTCTCTGCATTCATTCAAGACTGGCTCTAGGGATTTGTCATGTTCCTAGGAAGGTAAAGGGATTTATGGAGACTTCATGGTGAAACTTTCAGCCTTTCCTCTGTAAGCTCTTTTATTTCCTCTAGACTGCATCAGTCTGAGAGTACACCAACAAATTTGCTTATCTTGGGGTTAAGAGGGCTCCTTGAGTGGCTCATTGCCTTCCCACTTCCTCTGAGAAGGTGCTGGTGCTGAAGTGGCAGGGAGCAGAGTACCTAGTGACCATCTCTGCCCCTTTGCAGCAGAAAGGGACTTCTCCACTCAGCCTGGGCTGGTGTCAGGAGGAGGGGCAGCTCTGCCAGGGTAGATACTCCGTGTGAGCAGAATGTAAGACTTGGCTAGAAAGAATTGGAGCGTCTAAGAATGTGTTCCTGACAAGGAACTAAGGGTCTCAGGACTCCTCTGCTGTAGTATCTATATAATATTTCCTAAATCTGATCTAAATATCTAATTATCTAGATAATGTTTTCTTTAGGTCAGATGATTTCTGACCTAATGGTACCTCCTTTTACCATAGAATAGATTCTCATGTTTCTTCTTTCCTTCGGGGCTACAGGTTTTGACTGAACAGGTTCCACTAGTTGCTAGCAGTAATATACCTAAGTCATAAATACAAGTATTTAATGTGTAGTTCAGGCTGGGATTTTTCCTCTATTTTCATTGGAATTAAAGAGTTCCCTATATGTGGTGAACTATGTTCATTTTGCATTTCTCTGTAGCCATCCTGGCAGTATACCTGACACTCTAATGAGGCAACAAGACTGGAAAATAGTCATACAGGATATGCAAATAGGGCAGTACACAGACATTGCATTGAATCTAGTTGCATAGAATCTAAGGCTTTTTGGACCTTCATTCTTAAAATTAATCATTCTAGAGAAAATCTTGGGGGAAGCTGGTTCATACATTTCATATCATGAATGAAACTAGATATAGAGATGGTATAGGAGAAGATACAGGAACACATCTTGAGACAATTGAGCAGAAATAATTTTAATGGGTGTCAGGAAAGGTGTGACACTGCTTTAACAGATAGTGATTGTTAAAAGGGGAGAAGTTCTGACTGAAGGTAGAAAGGAAAAAGGATCCAATTTTAGGTTGAATGGGACTTGCATGGCCAGAAAGGACTAGAACAAGAAAGGTAACAAGAAACAGCTGTGTTTTTTGTATAATCAAGGGCTTCAGGGAGGAGTTTTTAGTAATCAAGGATGGAGATGGAACGTGGCAGGGTAGAAATTTAGCTGTGTAGGCAAAGAGGGGAAAATGGTATTTCAATATCCAGTTGCTAGGGAAGGGAGAGAATCAGAATATTTCCTGGGGTTAGGGAGCCAGACACTCAGATTTGATTTACTTGGAGCAGGACTTAAATGGTACAGATGGAGATGCTTTAGAAGAGCCTAAGGTGGTCCCTACAGAATGGATATTCATGAGAGAATTTATGAAATCTTCACATTTTTCTATCAATGCTTTATTAAAATCTCAATTCTGAAAAATGTTGATTGGTACTAACAGCTTGATGGAAGCAGTGAGGCTTGCATATGGGTGGAATATGGCAGAAATTATTACAGGGGTCAGGCACCATCTGTCTGTGATGGGAGAATGCTGTGAAAGCTTAGATCATTTCTGTCTGCAATTTAACTTCTAGGAGCCTGATTTCAAAACAGTTCATGAGTGTGCCCAGTTGCTGTATGTAAATCTCGGATGCCATCTGCAAGCCTGGTCTTTTTCAGGACTATTTGATGTGTAGT